TTATTATTGTTATTATTATTATTGCTAGTATTTCTAATATGACATTAAATAGCAAAAGAGTGTGTCAGAATCTTTTAACCATGTTCCTACATAACATAACTCCAATAAAGGCACAGTGTGAGAGAGGAGCCTCTTTTAATTGTTGAGCTTCAACTATAATAAAGCTTTTTGGACAAAGACAACTCCAGTTGTTTGCTGTGTTTTATTGCTGCAACATATAATGCTAAGTATTACTTCATTTAAAACTGCAAGTGACTGAATTATGTCTTTCTTTCCTAAAATGAAATGAAATGCATTCAAATTTGTCCATGTTAACAATCAACCGTCTCTGCATGGAAATAAGTGTGATAGTTAACTTATGGCCACGCATTAACGTTTTCTAATCTAATGTCTCCAAACTTTTCTGCTCAAACATTTGTTTTTGTTGCTACTGCTTAAAAAACTGCTTCAAAAATATTCTTAAAGATTTCAGACAGTTCATTCAAAGGATCCATACATCAAGTATTTATTAATTATATTTTGACCAAATGCAATTATTTAAAAATGTACCTAATGCACTTTGTGACCTATTCCTCAGTTCAATGTGATGGATCACATATTTAAAGTGTTCATAACTTTTTTACATAACCCCTGCTTTAAAGTTAATATAACCTGTTAAACAAATGCTACTCATTTGTGAGGTCATTGATGTTAAGGGTTGAATTTGGCACAAATTATTTTTTATGTATTTGAGAACACCCCAAAGGCTCATAAGCTTTAAAAAGTGTTTTAAATAACCAATTCAACTTATTTGTACTGTATTTACATTACTAGATAATGTTCTCACTTCAGCTGGTTGAAACTCTTTTTTTACAAAACGTGATTTTTTTTCTTCCTGATAAAATCGAGTCGATTCACACTCCCTGCCTGCCTTCTCTTATCTTTTAATTGCTCGGGGACCCGCAGGCGACAAGAGCAACCCCACAGCCCTGCCCTTTGTCTGATACCCACACCACACATGCAGGCTGCAAAGTTTAACTCCTGCCTCAGGCTGCAGGACAGATGAGCAACTCATCTGAGTTAACCTAAAGCAGTCAAGGAGAGATAATTTATATTGACCAAAAAAGCATGTGATTGCAAAGGAAGTGTGTGACAGGAAGTGTTTTATTACCGAGAAAAAGGGAAGGTCAGGGAGAGGGGAAAAAAAAAAAAGACGTAAGCACAAGCACTCATGAATATGGGCCTTAATTATGTTTGATGTGCCTTTTTCTCATTACCTTGTTTGCTCAAGCGTTGTGCGAACCGAAAGCACAGCAGAAGATCAACACGGCAAACCCATAAAAACAGCGGCGAGCATTTGATGAGCTGATAGCGCGTACTGTGTACTTTTCTCTGAGTGCAGCTTCCTCTTTCAACAAGCTCTCGTTACAAAACGATCTTAGAAAGAGCCTGAGTATTAAAATATAAATTAAATGGTAAACTACAATTTGCTGCTGTTTTCCCCCTGTTGGTTACAACTTTATTGCAGCTATAAAAGCAGAACGAAACGATCCCTGAAGAGCCCCTGAAGTGCTGCATTGTCAGAGCATTTGAGACTGTGACAAGCTCTTATATCCATTCACTCTACCTCAGTCACAATGGGTCCATTCAGGCCAAAACGGTCTGCGATCATCATGTGGATCTGCCTCTGGCGATCCTTTTTTCGGACACTCTCGTAGGTGGGGAGCCTCGGCAGGGGGTTCTCCAGTGTGGGCAGGCTGTAGCTGGAGGGCAGCCCTACACAGAAAAGCTCACCTGTCTGCTGGAAAATAATAATAAAAAAAAACATCACATGACAAAAAAATTGTGATTTATTCCTTTAGGGTGTTTTTTGTTTGTTTGTTTGTTTGTTTTTGTTAAACTGACATGAGAAGATATTTACAGAAGAGAAATGCCTAGTCGAGCTTAAAACCACAAGTTTCCTTCCAAATGCTGTGTTTTCTCACCTGGCTGTTGCTGTGATCAGTGATCTGAGTCTGATCCAAATAAGCAGAACCCACCAGGGTCTGTCTGCTGCTGTAGTACTGAGGAGGAGCATCCTGGAAAAAAAGGAGTTCAGACAAATGTTTTACTTTGTGATTACGACAAAAACTGCAGTGGAGTGGCGCACAACCAGGCTTGTTATTTGACTCCTCGGTGCTTTGTGTTCTGGGTACCTGCATTCAGACTGGGTGGGATGGTCCACCTGTTTGTCCTCTCGTGATATTGTGTTCACTTTGTAACAGACTAAACAGAGAATAAACAGAGGGGTTTGTGGTGACAAGAATCCAGCTTGTGCTTTTAGGTTTGATGACGTGTGTAAATATTTAGTGAGTCAACTTCAAGTGCTGCAACTGGATGAAGAAGTTAGCATTCGGGCTATTCGCTGTTGATCCCGGCTAGCATATCACCTGCTGTAGATATTCCTTTAGTTCAAGCAGGTCCAGAAGAAAAGTAGTTTTATGTCATTTTAAAATAATTCAGGTCTCAAAACCTTTAAACTATCTGTTGGCTCAGAAGGAGCTTATTCAAAATGATGCTTTGCTCTCTTCCACTGGTTCTCCACAGGGTTGTGTTCTGTCCCCCCTTTTATTTGTTTGATACACTAACATGTGTCAGAGCCAGTTCACAGCATGGCATATTTTAAAGTTTGCTGACAATTCTGTCATTGTGTCTCTTTTAAAGTCAGATGACCCTGATCATGGCCCAGTGGTGTCACCTTTTATTAACTGGTGTAAGTCATCCTTTCTAGACATAAACTTCAACAAAACCAAAGAAATGATTATTGACTTCAGGAAAAACACAAATGCCAACTCTCCCATGTAAAGTTGYCATTGTGGAGGAATATAAATATCTGGGTACTGTAATTGACAGCAAACTCTCTTTTGACAAACATGTGGACACTGTATTCAAGAAAGCCCATCAACGCATGCACTTTTATTGTAAATTAAGGAGTTTTAACATGGACAGTAGTTTTATGAGAATGTTTTTGAATCTGTTCTTACTTTTTCTTTTATTTGCTGGTATGGGCTATTGAGACAGAAAAAACAAAAAACACACCATATTGTCACAGGTTTTGCAGTAAAATCGCTTATGTCCCATTAAATAACATCACTACTCTCCATAGAACAGATCCTTGAAGAAAGCTCAGGCAATTTTATCTGAGCCTAACCACCCCCTACAGAGTTTTCTCTTTTACCATCAGGATGCAGATTTGCTGTAAAAAGATGTCAAACCAACAGATTTAAGAATTCCTTTTTGCCTGCTGTTATCCTCATTTTAAATACTTCTTGTTGATTGTTGTGTGTTTGTAGTTTTTACACCTATACCGTGTTGGTTTTTATGTTTTTTACTGTATTTGCGGTTGATGATTGTTTTTGTTCCTGCTGGCTGTGACACAAATTGCCCCATGGGGATATTAAAGATTACTTGACTCTACTTGACTTGAAATGTTATCTGCGACAAAGCTACAAATCCTTATTTCTCCACCCACTATAAGATCCACTCATTTTTGCCCAATTTGCCAATTTTCATGCCTTGTTCAGTCTCCTTTTAGGCACTGGTACCATAAATTATCTGATCAACAAGAGGACAATGCGACCACCCTCTGATTTCCATTCCTCCTCCTTTTGTCAGCTAGCTTTAAAAAAAACAAAAACACAAGAGAAGTCCGCGTCTCACTGTATGTGGTGCGAGGATCATGAGAAAGGAGTCTGCCAGAAAAACCAGTTAATTGCCCTGCGTCTAAACGATCGTCCTTTGTGAAGAGAACAATGTGATGTACTACTGTGTCGTCGGGGTCCTCAAGCGACCAACCACACCGAGAGGTCTTTTCAGGGCAGCTGAGGCAGATACCTGTCAGCCAGTACACTCCACTGCACTTTACCACCTCGTACGTCATGTGGGTGGGCCGCGCAACAAAGTCAATTTTTTGCTTGACTGAGAGCAAAACCTGCAGAAAAGGTCTTAGGACTTATCGCCGCTAAAACTAATACTTCTGGCTGGGAGAACGTCTAATTTGGCCCCAAAGTGTAAAATATCACATGTATCGCTAAACAGTGACATCACTCACACTTTAAATGACACACAGCGGCGACCTTTGACCCAACCCTCGAGACCTTTCAGAGCAGAACAGGGCACCGAAAAGGTGATGGCAAAGGTCTCGTCTTCTTCATGGGTTCACACTTTAAAGAGGCAAAAGAACGTCCTCGGGGGGAAAAAAAGAAGACAACACAGAAAAGAAGGGTTGTCCCCCTTTTGTTGCCGGCCATTGATTCAGTCAGTGTGAAAAGCACAACCGTGTAAAATCAGTGTAGAAGTTGGGGGTGGGGGGGGATCCCAGTGGCGTTCCCCTTTTTTTCCTACCATTGCTGCAACTTAAAGAAGGTTCATTGTTCCTTTTGAGTCCCCAACACCCACAGTGAGGTCGCTCCTCTATTCACGGAGTGAAAACGAAGCAGGGAAAAGTATGCGACTGTGACGTAGGAGACGTGGAATATCCCTTTGAGGCACAAATAGTGAGTTTGTGTATGCTTGCAACTCGAGCTGAACGTTTCGGTTCTTGTACCTTCAAAAAAGAGGGAGCAACAAGAAACAAAACACTATTTATCTCATAACTAGAGATCATCATGTTGTGTTTACACCTTTTGATGGATGCTTTACTGCACTGACATCAGCACTTCGAACCTGCTGGTATCTGTCACACCCTGAAGGGTCATAACCAGGGGTCACAGAAACCAGGGCAAAAGTCTTTTAAAGCAACAAATCTGTGGAAAGGTAATGTACAATTAGGATCTTACCTGTTGTAGATAGCTAGAGGCCCCGCCCACTCTACACTATATTTTTAAAAGCTTAGTTGAGATAAGCTTGTTTGTTGTTACTGTTTAAATGTGGTTAAAGAGGACCTTCAGATTTCAGCATTTTTTATGAGAATGTGCAGCTAGAGCAAACACATTCAACTAAAATAGATATCAGAAGTAAAACGGGATCAGAGTTTCATTCTGACTTGACTCAAAGCTAGCAGCTAGCTGGGCTAAAACCAAAGCGATCTGTTGTCATCTCAAAATAAAAAATATGAAAATAAACTCATTAGCATTTAATGTAAACACTGATTTTCAGCGTTCGTGGCCTCCGTACTTTGACAATTTTTCTATAGAAGCTAATTGTTTACAGAACCTCCCGCAATTTTGCAGAAACCACAAGTTTTCACCTCATTTATTTGTGTCTTTTTTTGTGGCAATTACCAGAGAAGCTGTAACTCCTCTGCTTTGCTGTGCAGTCCATGTCATTAATGTTGGTGAGCATTCAAACATTTTATTTTATTTTTATTAAAATAATTGAAGTTTTTTCAGTGGGTTTTTTTATTAAATTGTGGGCATGTTTAGGGTATAAAACATAGAAATTGTCTTTTTGTTGAACACAGACAAAATTAGCCTTTTTAAACAATTTACGGGCAGTCCAAGAAAATAATCCCTGCAAATTTTGAGGCTTTACAGTTCTTGACAATCCACACAGAATCCTGTTTTTTTTTTTTTGCTCACAAAATAACGGCAGCAGCAGCTAGCTGTAGCTCTAGAGTCTCAGACATTTTCTGCAGGATTATTATAGTATTTTTATAGTTTTAAGCATGTAATGTGTTGGATTTGTAAAAGTGTTTGCATGAAACGTTTGAAACTGTTTTGTTTTAAGCTGACACGTCAATGGAAATTTCAGTTTTTTTTAAACAACAGAAGTGTTTGCTAATCTACCAAAACAAGTTTGCAGTAAAAATGAGAAATTATCTGATTTTGGATTAAATTTTGTTTAAAAAACATGTTTAAAACAGGCTAAATTATTTTTAAGGTTTATAGAAATGTCTGTATGATTAATGGAAAATGTCCTGGCAACTTTCTTTTATAGTACAGAACTCTGTTTTGGTCAATGTGCTCAGAATTAAACTTTTATTTTTCTCAAGATCTGTCTATAACAGGTAAGATATTACTTACTCAAAGTATTTCCATACCCCACTTCTGAAGATTTAGCAGAACTTTCTCGTTAAACCCACAGAAACAGAACTTCCTGTCAGTTTGAAGAGTGTGCTTCTGTGGTCCAAAGATAAGCTCTCCTAAGCTCTCCTCTGGGACTAACAGAGGTGAGAGACAAGTCCAGAACAGGAAGCAGAGTGAGCGGTCACTCACTGAATAGTTAACATCTCAACTGTTTCTCCTCTTCCATATCCTGCACCACCACAGCTTTTAAACAGATTTATCTCTTTAGCCGATGTGAAGAAATGTCATGTATAATCTATAAAACTGATTAACATTCAAACAGAAACAATCTGTATTGATTTGAAAGAGTAGTTCCACATGCAGAGCTGATGGAGCACGAGAGAGAAAAATCACATCAATATTATTTAACCCCTTTTTTTTTGCCACAGCCATGCAAACTCACTCTGACACTTGTTAATGAAAGGGTTCCCTGTGTGTGGTCCAAACAGCTGCACTGCAGAATTTAGGTACAGACTACAGGGAAGTCAGCACAAAGGAAGACTTTTTAATGCTGATGTTGTTGTTGTTGTTGTTGTTGTTGTCTGTCAGCTCACCATATCTGTGTGCTGCTCCTGATAGGAGCTGTGTTTGCAGCACGGAGGATCCTTGCGGTAAAGAATGGACAGCAGCACAACGACAATCACAAAGAACACCAGAGAAGAAACTGTTTGGGACAAAAAGGAAAGTCATAATTATTTATTTATTTATTTATTTATTTATTTATTTATTTATTTATTTATTTATTTATTTATTTATTTATTTATTTATTTATTTATTTATTTATTTATTTAAATCCATTCATTCATTCATTCATTCATTCATTCATCAGGTATGTCAAGTTGAAGTAACTTTTCAGGTTTAGCTGTCTCATTCTCCAGAAACAAATTTTGTTCACACATTTAGAAACCTTTTCAGGTGTTTTATCAGTTTTAAACTAATGGTTTGATGAAAGATAAAAACATAAAAAGGACATTGCTCCTTATTACTTTGTTAGAAAACAGGTTTGAATCTGTTCAAATTCCTCACAGTAAATGTTAAACAGAACAGGTTGACAATGATTTACTCACAGGACGCAGCGACCACAGTGAGCTGATCTGATGTCAGCAGTGAGGACGCACTGGTCGGACTTGCGACTGTGGACATGTCCTCTGCGTAAACCTCGTCCCTCGGCACGCGTCCCAGTCTGGACATCTTCACATCTCAGAGACCGACAGAGACCGCGGCTCTGTCGCTCCTGGTCACCATGTCTCGCCGATTCGGGGACGGGGAAGAGAAGGACAGTCCACATGCGCTCTGGAGGTCCGGGAAACTCTGCTCTATCCATGAAGGCAGCGCTGCGTAAAAGAGGCGCGTCATTACGCACTGACGCCCTTTTCTCCGAACTGCGTTACGTCGCTCCGGTCGCCTAATGGACTGTGGCAGGGACTCTTTTCTTCTTCGGGCTAATTGACATAGATTTGTATTTATTTTTTTTATTTTAGTGATTCTCTCTGTGGCAGAAGAGATTGGTGCCATGGCTCATAAACCAGCCGCGTCTGGATATTTGGGTGATTTAGATATTTTGAAGTCTGAGAGTTGCCCAGCTGCTTCCTCTGCAGTTTAATTAATGCTACCCAGACTACTAGGTTAACTCCCAACATGCCTAAACCAGAGTCTCGTTCCCCTGGAGACCATGGGGGTCCCAAACTGAGAGGCTGCAGACAAAGAGCCAAAAATGTTTTTGGATGCACTGCAACACGACTCATTTCTGTCCAGTTTACTTCAAACTATGGTTATATCTGCGTTTGATCACTTTCAACGATCCATTTATTCTATTTAGGATGTGTGACCACATTTTGTCAAGCAGAAAAATAATCTAATGTTACCTGAATATCCCTTTGCCCACGTTTTCTATTATGAATGGATGAAAGGCACGAATTAAACATGTGTTTTCTGTTGTTTATTTAGGTAAATGAGAATAATGTTCAATATGAATACTTCAATTCCAGGTTTCTGTTAATTTTACATTGAATCTGGGGTTTTTCTACCTGGCACGGCCATCCACTATGAAAAAAAAGAACAAAAATGGAATAATCTGTAGTTATAAATGGGAAAAAGACATCCAGCTCTTTGAGTATATTATTTATAGTTGTGCCATCATTTTGAACTTTTGATCCATTAAAAACTGCTCGATTTTTAGACTTTATCCCCAGATTTAGAATTTTAAAAGCTTTTCTCTCTTTTTAACTAAAACAAAGATCTTGACGTAATTTCAATTGAGTTAATTTGTTTTTACAACTTTCTTTAAGATAATTGTGTCAGCATCCCTAAATTTTTTTTATCAAATTACATATAAACAACTACAGAAAGCACATTATTAATTAAAGGAGTTTTTGATCTGGTGGATTTTGTGTCATTTCCCAGGATTTTCATGTCACAAAAGGAAAAAGCATAAGTAGAGCCCCACAGCGCCCCCGCGTGGACACTAAGTTGAGAACTCTCCGTGCACACGCTGCTTCTGCTCAGTCGGAGTCGGAAAGATGGTGGCCCTCGTTCGAGTCCTAAAGCTGCTCCGACGATATAAACCAGCGATTTCCGCCGCTTTAATCATCTTACTGATTCAAGGACTCGTGGTATGGAGTCTGAGGAGTCTGGAAGAAGGCGAGGCGGAAGTAAGAGACGTTTCTCGTGATTATATCAGACGTGGCAATGATTTAGTTAGGCTTAATTGTACAGCTAACCGTTAGCTTAGCTCGCCGTGTGTATGCTGTACGCTGGCTGATGATGCTAGCTGCTAGCAGCTGGAGAAGAGTGCTGCTACTGTCTGTCACTGTACAGTGTTGCATAATAAKGCTAAGAAGAAATATTACTCTGTTGTGTAGTTTATTGTCATTTAACTTGCTGAAGTCAGTACACTTTTTCATATATTTAATTTGGAGAGGCATATGGAGCAATGGGGAAATTAACTGGCTTCACACATCTGAATAAAAGAAACTAATTTATTACTTCGTGTTTGTTATTAAGAGTCAGACGCCATTGATAGTTATTAWTTTAATTAGTCTGGGCTGCCTTTTATAGCAGTTCCAGGATAGGATCACTGTTTTTGTTTTGTTGTTTTGTATACTTCTCATCTGTACCTGCCAGCTGCATAATTCACCTGAATAGAAGTCCTCAGGGATCATATCTGTAGGGGTCACCTCGAGTGAAGAAACAAGGTTTAGTGCCTCGAAGCAGAGGACAGGAACTCTGTCACAAACTGAACTCTATTTAGGCCATGACAGGTCATTCCAACCGTGGAAGAGAACCCCTCAGTTCTCTTAATCAGATAATGGACAGAACATCTCTTCTGTTCGTGATTCATTTGTTGTTTAACTAAGAATGTTTATGCATTTGTTAAATCATGATAATGCCTGTCACAGGAAAAGTGGAACCA